GCTTCTTTCATGTTTTCAGACTCTTCTCCTTGTCTCTTTGTTTGGGTCCAGCTTCTTTTCTTCTCTGATTTTCCTGTCTGGAATATTTGGGTCCCTTTAAGGCTCGCTGTCCGTAAGCGATGTGTCAGAGCAGGAAACGGATCAGGAACCAGCAGGAGGAAAGTTTGGTTTCTGCATGAAAACTGGGAGGATCTGCAGCAGCAGGACAAACAGGAGACGTTTTAGAGGACGGTGGTCTCCATCTTCTGCTCCTCACATCAGCAGAGGACGGTGGTCTCCATCTTCTGCTCCTCACATCAGCAGAGGACGGTGGTCTCCATCTTCTGCTCCTCACATCAGCAGAGGACGATGGTCTCCATCTTCTGCTCCTCACATCAGCAGAGGACGATGGTCTCCATCTTCTGCTCCTCGCATCAGCAGACGGTTCCTCCGTCAGGTCTACGTTAAGTTCCTGTGGTCTGCAGCAGGTTTCTGCTGATGGATTCCAGGGTTAAAGATCAGGTCTGCTCTGGTTTGAAGAACCACAGGATCCAGAGAGAGATCCGCCTGAAGAAGCTCTGAGTCCTGGAGGTCCTAACTGCTCTGCAGCAGGAGGTCAGACAGAGGAACCTTTAACAGATCAGACGCTGAGCGTCTTCCTGCTCCTAGCTTTACGTTGGATCTGTTTCCATGGAAACGGCTCTGCCTCCATCTGCAGCTGAAGGCCTTCCAGCAGCATCAGGGACTCATACAGATCCGCTTATTTTCATTTTATTCTGAGGAACACAGAAACATGAGCAATATTCAGTTAAAACCATCATTCCCAGTTTGGAACCATTAAACCTCAGAGACGTGAACCAGAAGATCAACTCTTCCTTCCATCAAATATTCACATATATTTTAATACGGCTGCAGTTTTATTCTTTATTTCAATGATCAGTTATTAAATATAATTCACAAACAATCATTTCCATAAAACTCAGACATGCTGTGTTTATATTTATTACATAAACCACTGATCACCCCCCCCATTTAATTTATCCATTAATCATCATAATTTAATCATTTCATGATGAATAAAGACATGCAATACTTTATGCTTTATTAAATAATTCCACTGATTTATTTTCCTCCATTAATGTGATAAAAGTGATTTTAATAATTGTTGTTTTTTTAATAATTGTTGTTTTATTCTGTGAAGAAATGAATGTTTGTTTCTGGATGTTTTAGTTGATCTGTGATGTCATCATATCCTTTATTATTCTTTTACTTTCAGATTAAATCCTGGATTGAAGCTAATTTATTAGTTTATAGTTTCTATGCAGGAGGTTAGAAAGGAAGGAGGAGAAAAAAAAAGAAAACATTTTATTCCAGGAAAAACTTTGATTTATTAATAATACAAACATTGAATCTGATGTCGGATTTCCAGCCTGATTTATTCTCAGTTATTAACCCTTTATAGGCAAGTTAGCATTTCTGATCATTTGCACCCCCCCTCACCAATGGAGTCCCCCCCCTCCCTCAGTGAGGTCTAGAAGCACTAGATCTATATCCAGCCATTCAGCATAGATCCTGCCATATGATTGGACATCTGATTTTGGCATTTGACCAATTAGATGAGCCCTGAATGATTGATTATCTGCTGGAAATTAATTTCAATAAAAAAGTTAAGAAGTTACTAAGCCTCGTTAACAATTCTGTTTAATTTTATAAACTAAAACATGTCAACGCCAGAATCTGCATTAATGGACCAAAATAAACGTGTTTCTTTCACTCTGAGGGTTTTTCATGAATTTCTTCTAGACGCATTTTAGTTATTTTTCTTAATATATTCAACCAGTTGGCTTTTCTTGTTATTATATTGATATTATTAATATCCATATTTATTGAATATTAAAATTAATTATTTGAATGTAACAAAGGTAAAAAGGTTTGCTTGAAATGTGGATTTTAATGAGTTTCCTCTAAAGGATTAAAACTAAACATTTTCAGAGTCTTTGTGTTTAAATGACATTAAATCAGTTTAATGGAAGATAATCTGAATGGAAACCAGCTGCTGAACCGGAACCAGAGGGAAGTTCTGGAGGTTCAGGATGTTCTGAAGGTTCTGGAGGTTCTGAAGGTTCTGGAGGGTCTGGAAGTTCAGGAGGTTCTGGAGGTCCTGCGGGTTCTGGAGTTTCTGTAGGTTCTGGAGGTTCAGGAGGTTCTGGAGGTTCAGGAGGTTCTGGAGGTCCTGTGGGTTGTGGAGTTTCTGGAGGTTCTGGAGGTTCTGGAGGTTCAGGAGGTTCTGGAGGTTCTAAAGGTAGCACTTTGAGATTTGAATTCAAATGTAAAGTGCATTACAAATAAAATTCATTATTATTATTATTAAAGGTTCTGAAAGTTCTGGAGGTTCTGTAGGTTCTGGAGGTCCTGGAGGTTCTGGAGGTTCAGGAGGTTCTGAAGGTTCTGGAGGTTCTGGAGTTTCTGTAGGTTCTGTAGGTTCTGGAGGTCCTGGAGGTTCTGGAGGTTCAGGAGGTTCTGGAGTTTCTGGAGGTTCTGAAAGTTCTGGAGGTTCTAAAGGTAGCACTTTGAGATTTGAATTCAAATGTAAAGTGCATTACAAATAAAATTCATTATTATTATTATTAAAGGTTCTGAAAGTTCTGGAGGTTCTGTAGGTTCTGGAGGTTCTGGAGGTTCTGGTCCAAAGTGACCCAGCAGAGGTTCTGATCAGATGATGATGAGATGATGAGCTTTAATTAAGAATATTTTTTATTCCCGCCTATTGATCAAAGCCTGGGCCCCCCCCCACCCCCCTTGTCTCCTTCTCCAAATCACGACTCCTGTCTGCGCACGACCTGTGCAGCGCCGCATTTTTCCAGATGCACCCCCCCCCCCTCCCTCTGCGCGCGCGCCCCTGCCTGTGTGTGTGCGCGCGCGGCAGGCTGAGCGTGTGTTTGTTTCCTCAGGTCTCCTTATCAGCTGCAGCCAGTCACGCTGTGATTTCAGACTTTCTTCAGCAGCTCTTTGCTGGTCAGCCTGTTTTTTTTACTGCCTATTGTTTGGCGGATGGTTTAGAAAAAGATACAGACTGATTTCTAGCTGATCTGCATCTAGACAAACTTTCTAACTTTGATTTAACAAAGTTTGTCTTTGATTCTTTTATCAAATGTTTGATAGAAATGAGGAGAAATTATTTGATCACTGATGATGAAATAAAGACTTTACTGAGATGCTGACATTTATCCTTTAACCTCCAGATGAAGGAAACCAGGAGAACATAGAAATAATTCAACAAGATGCAGATTTAAAAAAACAGATCTACAGCTGAAGAAAAATAGAAAGAAATAAAAACTGAATAAAAACAGGATTAAAGTTCAACAGATTTCTCTCTTTTCTCTTTAATCAGAAAATAAACATCAGATGATTTTAAAGCTTTTTTCTATTTTCCCTCCTTTTCGATCAGAAATAGATCAGTTAGATGCTGAATCCATGAAACATTCTGCTCAAAGTTTGTTTGATTTTTACTGCATCTCCTGAACCAAAAACTGAAATAATGTTAAAGTCATAATCATAATAAAACAATAAGTATTTCTGGCCAGTTTTTACATTTAATAGTTTTTACATTTATTTTCATAATCGATAAAGTAAACAATCATCATTGGAGGCAGAAATATAGTTAAACTTTTATTTCCAATCAATACAAGAAGTTTTTATTAGTTAGAATCAAAGATCTGATGGATCCGTTCAAACTGATGAATGAATGAATGAATGAATGAATGAATGAATGAATGAATGAATGAATGAATGAATCCTTTAACTAAAGCAGCTTCATCTCAATATTCCAATTATTAACTTTAATGAGGGAACATTTGATCCAGGAATGATCAATCAGCTCCATAACAGCAGCTTCTAACCTGAAGCTTCATTTTCTATATTTACCTGATTTATTACTTTATTTACATTTCATAATACTTAAAGCTTTACTTTCAGTGAATTCCTCATGTTTCAGTTTTAATGTGATTAAAATCAGCTCAGTTGGACAGATTAGGGATTAATGAAATTATGATGAGATTTTACATCAATAGATTAGTTCATTCTGGTTAAAATTAATTATTTTAGGATTCATTGGTGAAAATAAGCTACTGAGCCTCAGGAGGCAGGAGGGCCAATCTGGAGCCTTATGGGCCTGATAGCCGCTAATAATGATCAACAGGGGCCCCTATGTGGAACCAGCTCTACAGGGGCCCCTGTAGAGCTGGTTCTGGCCCCTGATGATGACATGCTGTGGAACAAACATGGAGACTCAGCGGAACCGTTTTTTTTTTATTTATTTATTGCTGATGCAGCTTCTCTGCTGCTCAATGTTATTTTAAACCAAATAAAAACTGTTTCAGATTAATTCATCAGTTTTACTTCTGATTCTGAATTAATAAACATTAATTTCATTTAGAATAATTCAAAATAAGTCATATTTCTGAATAAACATCGAACTAATCTTCCAACAGCTGCAGTTTATCTTCTGGAGGAGATTTATTTACCAGCTAATTAATCCAGATGTTTATTTTTCATTAATTTTAGGGAATAAAATAAAATTTCTCTGCGACAAACTGACCCCCCACAGCCCCCCCCGTCACGCTGCGCCTCCAGGGTTCTATCTAGAGTTCTATCTAGGTGGAGTTTTCTAGATGATTGAATCCAGCAGAGTTTCATCTGAAGCGGTTCTAATATTTCTCACTCTTTGTTCACCATCAATGTTCACTTTTATTAGTGATCACTTCACTTTAGGATCATTTCTGAATGAATGTTGCTTCATTCAGGGGGAGGGTTTGGAAGGGGGGGGGGGCGTAAACAAAGCTCGGGGCCGCAGGTCACGACGCTCCGCAGGCACGCGCCCCGCCCACGCGCCGCTGCGCTCTTATAAGCGGCCCTGCGCTCCGAGCAGCAGCTCAGAGCTCCGCTTCAGGCTGCGGGATCCTGCTGGGAACATCTGGGAACGTCTGGGAACATCTGGGAACGTCTGGGAACATCTGGGACCGTCTGGGAACATTTGGGAACATCTGGGAACATCTGGGAAAGGAGCGGAGAGGGAAACCTTGAGAGTCACGGTGAGTGTTGCTGTTTGGACCTTCTGGTTCCATCAGACCAGTTCTGGTCTCTGTGGGTCCAGTTGGTTCAGGAGTCAAACTGTGTCCCTCAGAGCGGAGATGGAGGTCTGCCACACCGGCTTCTGCTCCGAGGACTTCAGCTCTCAGGAGGTTCCTGCAGGCTTCGACTTCACTGCTTATGGTGAGTTCAGAGCGGTGGGGGGGTGGGGGCAGCTGAAGGACGCAGGAAACCCCCTCCCAGACTGTGTCATCATCACATCTGTCAGAGGGCCCTCAGTGGGGCCCTGAGCGGAGGAGCTGGGTGGTCAGGCTCCAGGCCTCTGTCTCCTAATCCCTTCCTCCAGATTTCCTCCTCCAACAGATTTAGTCCTCCCTCCTCCTCTTCCTCCTCCCATCTCTCCATCACTCCCTCCAGCCGTTTCCTCCCCTCCCTGCTCCGCTTCCTCCTCCTTCCATTGAGCTCAACCTTCATGTCATTAACGCTCCGACCCATCCCACGTTTCCTCCTGCCGCTGAGAGCTCAGCTCAGACTGTGAGATTCATCATTTCTAACCTTCCTGTTTGAATCAGGATCATCATCTCAGGACCTCCTCCTGCTCCTCAGGAGGAGCAGCGGCTCTCCTATTGGTCACAATCTGATGGTTTGAGCTAAACTGAGATGTTCTGCTGCTGTGCCTCCTCCAACCTCATTAACCTTTAACACACCGGCTCTGATCTACGGCCTAAACATGAAACATGGATTAATGTTAATCTGATCAATTAACCTCCCTGAAGGTTTAGAGAGGAGCTGCGCTCCTCCATCCTCTAACCTGCCTGTCTGCCTCTGTCTGCGTTATGTTTAACCCTCAGACTGCCCTGGTGAAGACCTGTCTTTTCTGTTAGACAGCAAAGCGTTTGGAGCTCAGCAGTACGGGACCAACAGCAGCTATGAGCCGCCTAAAGCTGCACCGCTTTACGACTGCAAAGGTGGAACCTTCAGATTAAACTCTTCCTCACTTCACCACAAATGTTGCATTTCTAGACTTTACTGCAGGAATTAGTTTTACTTTCTACTCGTTAGTTTTGCTTCATTTCAGCTCATTTTCATTACAGCCTGTTTGTATTTAAAGAAAATAAAAACCAAAATAATTAGTTTCATCCAGACAATTCATTTCTTTATGAATGGACTCGGTGCTGCCCCAACCTGTTGCTCACCACCTACCAAAATAAATATCAAGATGATGCAAAGTTAAATGTGACGCTGTTAGCATCAGTTATAAAACTAAGAAAATAAAGTCTAGAAGTTATCATCCAGAATTATAGAAAAATGTTCCTCTAATAGAGCAAGTTAGCGTTCCTGATTATTGCCTTTCAAATGGAGTCCAACTGGCATTTAACCAATTAGATCAGCCCTTCAGTGATATATCACCTACTGTAAATTAAGTAAAAAAAGTTAAAAAGTCAAGAAAAAAGGTAAAAAGTTAATTGAAAAGTTAAAAAGTTACTAAACCTAGTTAACAATTATATTGATGTTTAAAAGTAAAACATGTCAGCGCCACAATCTGCATTAATGTTGGACCAATAAAATGTGTTTTTCATGAATTTCTATAGAAGCACTTTTGTTATTTTTCTTAATATATTCGGGCAAGTTGGCGTTTCTTATTATTATTATTATTACATTGACATTAATTTATAGCATCAAACTCTCCATATTTATTGAATGATCAGATGAGGTCTTTTCCTGGATTTCTTGGCTGTAAATGTTGATTTCACTGAGCGGCCTATAAAGGTTTAACAGGGAGGAGCAGTAAAGCTTCTCTCCTTCACAGTTTTTACTGCATTACTTTTACTTTTATGCTTGAAATAGTTTTAAAAATGTTTCTTTTACACTTTTAATGTAGTAAAAAGCTGAATTTGATGCTTTAACTTCTATAAAGTGTTTTTAGACGTTAGGATTTCTGCATGAATAGTCATGGCGGCTTCAGAGACAGACGTCCTGCTGGCAGCCATAGTTTCCTCTAACCGTCTCCATTCTGGTCCTCAGCAGGTGCTGCAGACGCCGGACTCTTCAACCTGGACTCATACCAGGACTTTAACTGGTGGAGCTCATACCCACAGGGTGAGGCTGCAGCCCGGCAGTGCGCAGCATGGCTGTCAGGGTGTGTTTGGTTCTGACTCTGTCCTTCATCCTCAGACGGTCTAACTGGGGACCAGTCCCAAACTGGAGGCTACCAGGAGGCCCAGCAGACCTACCAGAACCTGGTTCCTCAGGCCGCTCAGTTCAGCCCGGCCCTGGAGGGCCGCCACAGCCCCTTCCTGGCAGGAAAAGGATCCAACCCCCTGCAGAGTAAGACCCCTGACCCCCCCACACCCAGACCCCTCCCAGCCTGGTCTCCGGCTCACCCCGGATCGTTCTGTGATTTTCCAGATAAAACCGATCAGAGTTTCTATGAAGCAGACGGACGCAGGCAGACATCTTCCTTCTGGCCTGAATATCCATCACCCAGCTTCACCTCCCCTCCTCTCCAGCCTCCTCATCCTCCTTCCTGCCCTTCAAACTCCAGCAGCCAGCCTACAGAGCACTACTGCCCCCGTGTGGCCAAACGGAAGAGCACACAGGTCCCGAGGCCTGAGAGGGAGGGGCCTATACCTGGGATGTCAGCTTATCCAGGTGTGTCTCCTCCTGTGACATCAGCAAACCCTCTGACCTTAAAGCTGAGGAGGATCTTCATGTTTCTGCCTCTTCCTGCAGGTTCTGGTCCCATTCAGCTGTGGCAGTTTCTACTGGAGCTGCTGCTGGACTCTGCCTGCCGGACGTTCATCTCCTGGACAGGAGACGGCTGGGAGTTCAAGATGTCTGATCCCACTGAGGTGAGAAGCCGCTCTGCTGTCTCCTCAGGGAGGCGTTCAGGTTCACTGGGAGAAAAGAAAGAAAGTCCCATCAGAGGAGACAGAGTCCCCAAAAACTGGACTTCATTCAGAATAGCTCCACTTCATCACATCATTACATCCAATACAATCCCTCACACTAAGCATGCTTGTAGCGACAGTGGAGAGGAAAGACTCCCTTTGAACAGGAAGGAGTTAAAAGGGAAGTTTTAAATTTTACTTTCATTAATAAGGAAATATAAATTATTTTAGCATCAAATTATTCTGAGAATCAGAACTTTG